AAAGGACTTTAATTTCCTTAGCAAAAATCACAGCAAAATTCTTGCTAAGAAATGACTCATGAGCTCCAAATTTTTCCACCAGTCCAAATGAAGTCCTATGTGTATATAGAGGTAATTTGTGCTGAGCTACTTGCAGTCTTGACAGAGAACCCTGCTGATTTTCTTGACTATGACAAAGGTCTGAGGCAAGCATTTTCATTTTTATTCTCTGCCATTAACCAGGGAGGACTCTGAAAGAAAAGAACCACAAAACTAACACCCAGAAGATGCTTTAATGCTTGTGTTATCCAAAAAAGTTTGGAGTTTCTTCCTAGGGAAGGCAAAGGAAGTATTTGATTTTCACTAAGGGAGAATGTTTGGAATCCTTGAAATATCTTTCTAGAGTCCCCAGGGAGCTGAGCAGGCTGAAAGTTACCAGTATGAAAGAGTCAATACCCCAGCTCCTGCACCTTCAAAGAAGTGACCCAAACCCTTGGGTTGCTCTACCCATTTTTTTTTTTTCCGTTTTTTTTTTTTTTTTATCGGTACCAGGGATCGAACTCACGACCGCCTGCTTGCAAGGCAGGTGCTTATGCCGCTGAGCTAAATCCCATTAGTATTATCCAAGAATGTGCTAGAATTGCAGATCTCTCACCTGACTGTGGTGTTACCAACCCTTACGCAATTTTCATGTAATTTCTATGCACGTTAATTAAAAAAAAAAAAAAAAAAAGTCCAGTACTGTCTCCTTTCTAAACAGATAGGGGCTATTTTCTGGAAAACATTCCAACAGTGCTCACACTAACATATCTCAGCAACTCTCGCTGGAAATCTTTCTCATCAACCTCACCAGTGGCTCCACCAAAAACTCTCCTCCAAGTAAAGTTTACTTATTAAATTCTCTACAATCCTTTGGCAGTGTGGATGGTGTGAACTTCTAGGCATCTCCTGCTAAATTAGCTGATGGCCCTAGTATTCACCTGGTCTAATCGTTCTCCAAGTGAACAAAAACTTGATTTTACAAGCCAGTGGAGCAGAGTGTCTCTTTGGCTAGAAGAGTGAGTCTCGGAGAGTGTGTTTTATTTCTTCATTAGTGCGCCGTCACAGTGAGCGATCGCTAAATGCAGGACTGCATAAGAATGCTGGGGTTAAAGACAGCATAATGAACAAAGAAGGTGCCTGATTATCATGGCTGTCAGCACAAGGGAATTGGGTTTGTCACCTGGCTTAACCAACTGGTAAGAACTGATTAGGGGCTGAGATCAGTTTGAAAGGATCCCTGATGTTTATGCTCCTTCCCATCCCCATATCTTGTCAGGAGTCTGATAAAGCAGGGGCTGACGAGGTTTGTTCTGTGGGTTATCTGCACAAAAAGTTCGTGGAGACTCCTACTGTCTCCATCACTGAAATGTCTACTACAGCGCTGGCCAAGAGAACTTTCTATGATGATAAAAAACAGACTGCAGTGGAGCTGCCCATGTGACTACCGAGCTTTTGAAATGTGACAAGTGTAAAAGAGAAACTGAATTTTACACCCAGAGTCCATAACTGTAAATGTCAACAGCCTCATGTGCCTCATGGCTACCATACTGGACAACACAAGCTCACTAACAAAACAGGAAAGGGGGAAATCCAGAATAAGAGATTGATTCAAATTCTGCTGCTTAACTTACTCACATGAATTTCTATTAGCAAAGTATGATCACCTCCCTGACTACTCCTTTCTCAAAAGAGGTCTTGTGAATTAATATTACAAGCTTAAACATGATAAGAAGAATTCAACTCTATAAAGAAGTGGTCTCGACCCTTCACTGTACATGGGATTAATGGGCTAGTTTCTGAAAAATCGATGTCTAAGTTCTACCTCCAGAGATCCTGTGGCGTACTGGGGTGGTTGGGTAATTTAATTGTGCGGCCAAAGGCAGAACACACTAATAGAGAGATAGTGAGATGTATTCACGCTGGAGACGGTTTGGAGATATGGAGATGGTTTGGGGAAGGAAATAATCAGCTGGTGATAAAAGTGGAAGAGAACAAATATTTATTAGACTAGATGTGATAAAGTCCTTAGCAAATGTTTTCTTATTTATTTTGTAAAAAAACAATTCCAGACGTAGAGAGTGAGAATCCATTTTACAGATAAGGAAACTAGGGCTTGGCTTGGTGAGATTAAATTACATCCTCAAGATGACAAGCGTGCTTCGTGGTTGGAGCCAAGGCAGTAGGACTGGCGAGTCTGGGGGGGGGGGGCTGTCGGCATGCAGTTCCCTCTTCACTGAGGGACGGGTGGCAATCAGTAGGGTGCAGCATGGGCCCATGCATAAGACTCTGAAACCAAACGGGAGGAGGAGGATTCTATGGTAAGAGCAGGAGGGCAAGGGCCACCTCTGACTTTGCTGTCTTCATAGACCTTTGATCCAAGATTCAAAATGTCACCACTCTTCTTCCCTTCACCTTATTAAAAACAATCCCAGAATAATGCAAAATTTCCTTTTGGTTTTAAACCTTTTTGATCTATTTCTGTGCTAAAAGCAGTTTTTCTTTTCATTTATATCATCAGTGTAAAGCCAAACTTTTATTCCTACAGACATATACAATTCCAAAGGCTCAGTGACTGCCTGGTTATTACACATCAGACAAATGATTCAGTGTCACAGGCATATGGTGATTTTGGAGCATCCCTACAATCCCAAGGAACAAGGTGAAATAATTAAGTGATTGGCACATTGTGCTGGAGAATGCTAACAGAATCATGAGCCTGAAAAACACTGGAGGGAAGAGCCACACCATGTCATCAAAAATGAGTTCTATGACATTGATAGCATGGAGGAGGCTTTATCTGTATGGAAAATACACAGACTATGTGGTACAAAAAAGGGCAGCTCTCAAAACGTCATCCAAAAATACTTTCCCTTGAGTTCATTATTGTACCCTAAACTCCCACCACTGGAGAGCTGTTGGTAGCAGATATGAATAGAAGTAGGAAGCTCATTATTAATCTATTTACATATAATAGAATATAGCACAAAATTATTTAGATTGGGGAGGGCGAGAAGGTCTGGGCTTGCAAAGGCCAAAAGAAAGTAGTGACCCAGGGGCTGGCGATTAATCTCAGCGGCATAAGTGCCTGCCTTGCAAGCGCGTGGTTGTGAGTTGGATCCCCGGTACCAATTAAAAAAAAAACAAAACAAAAACAAAAGTAGTGACCCAAAGAAAGTCCTTAGTCTGTAGAAGGAACAGAAAAAGGAGGAGATACAGAACATAACCCATTGCCTATTCAGGTTACAGATAAATTAACCCTCTAACCTCCTTCACTCTGCAAGTTCAAGCTTGATCTGATCCCAGAAGGTAGACAGTGGTCTGCAGTGTGTTCTTTAAGATCACTGAGTTGCCAGCTACCCTACCTACCAAATGAAAAACATCTACTTTACATGTGAACATGTGATAAGATTTATAGACGGTTCCTACTAGGCAACCTGAATTTAGTTTAAAAATTAGCATTAGGAGCAGCAGCAGCAGCAATAGCAATAGTAGTTATAATAGTCTTGTCTCTTACTGCAAAAGCCAACCCAGAAGGTATGGCAATTTTAGTACAAGTTTGGGATGATTCTGAGATTTCTCTTCCTACTCCTTTTATAAGAGGACACCGGCTTGTATTAGAATGGCAGTCTCAACCTCTGCCAAAACAGAGCACACTTCTATGTTCAGTGATTCTGTCCTGCAGCAGCCAAAATGGAGTATATAGCAGTTAAAAAACAAAATAGTATTAGTCATATTGACGGTAAAAACCAAAATGTATCAGTGAATTTTACACAGCATAATAGAAACAGGAGGCATTAAATACCAACAGCTGTTAGGGGAGTAGAGGTTGAATATCTGCAATCCAAACACCGGAAGTCTAAAATGCTCTAAAATCTGGTATTTTCTGAGCACAGACAGGACAACATAAGAAGAAAACTCCACACCTGTCCTAATGTGATGGCTTGCAATAAAAGGCAGGCATTCTAAAAATACTGTATAAAACTACCTTCAGGATATTTGTATAAAGACAGCATGAAATAGAAATGAATTGCATGTGTAGACATGAGTATCCACAGGATATTTCGATGCATGGACACAACTATTTCCAAACCCAAAAAGTCCTCTATTTAGGACGTTCGGTTCCAAGCAATTTGGAAAAGCAATATTCAACTTGTACTGCTATTAACTTCTACAGAAGACGTGGTGACATCACCAGCTATGGAGTCATTCACCAAACAGTGGGATGGAAAACAAACCGAAACCATGAGATGTGTGATGTCCTACTAGGCCTAACAGAAACAGAAACAGGAAGCAGAGACTTCACCTAACACAAACACATGATGAAATGCCTGGCCCATCATCCCGTCCTGGCCAAGGTCACAGCCACCGTGCTGCAGGGCCCGGGAAGCACAGGTCACGGGCGAACGGCTGCACTTAGAAACACAGCCCAAATAATGCACGAGAAGAGATTCTCCACTCCCCTACAGGCTAGCCCGGCATTTATTAAGTACCTGTCATTAAACAAGCATTTATTAGGATCCAGTCCTAATTGTTAGGAATACAGGACTATGAGGTGTCACAACAAGTCAAGCAACGACCTTGGTGCCTGCTGAGCTGTCCCCTTCCAGACTGAAACCACATTCCCAAACGCTGCCCTCTACCTGTCTCTCCTACAGCTGTTAAGCTCCACCAGGTCTTTATTGTGACGGTAAAACTATTCATAAGTTCCGATCTCTGCTCTAATTACACTGTCAGACAAGCCCTGAACACTCCAGCTCTACTCGGCACAACAACTGTACATTTAGAATGCAACCGGAAACAGTGGAGATGAGATGATCCTTTCTTTCACAAGCATTTTCCCTATGATGACTGACAAAGGGCTTGTGCTCGATCCCATTTGCCCTCTGTGCAGTCAACCAGGGGAGGACCTGGCAGTGCCCTGCTCAGTGGTAAGGAAAGCTGCTGGCATCATAAAAACGGTAGATAAGCAGATGACTTACGGGTACAGGGCATGGATGCAGCATCATTGGCAGCTCTGAAAAAGCCTCGGTCACAGGTACACGAGGTGGCTCCTTCCCAGACAGAGTAGCTGTGAGGTGGACACTTGGCACAGGTGGCATCCGTGGAGAGAGCCTTGTAATACCCAATTTTGCAAGCTACAGGGAAGAAGGGAAAAAACACACACAAAAATATTAGCCGCTATGAATACAGTGAAGCACAATGTGAAGCCATCCCCTTGATTTAGAAAACCCATTTTTTGTTAATCATTGGTGATCATCTGGTTTGACACACAGAGAAAGCAAGCCAAAATTATCAGTTCATGACAGGTACTCTTGAAGGGTCATTAAAATTCCGGGTTTGGTGACAAGGGGACCCTGGAAGACACTTTCTTAAAATTCATGGTTTCACGCAAATATACAGGGACCTTTTATATAAATTTTCTTGTTTAATCCTTATAGAACTATTACTATCATTAACTTAGAAATGAGGATGTGGTGGCACATGCCTCTAATCTCAGCATTGCGGGAGGCTGAGGTAGAAAAATCCCAAGTTAGAGCCCAAGCTGGGCAATTTAATAATCTAGTGAAAATCTTTCTCAAAATAAAACAAGCTTTAAAGGCAAGAAAATTTAAAGGCAGGGGATACAGCTCACTGTGAAAGCTCTTGGTTCATTCATTCCCTAGTACAGAGAGGGACAAGGGGAAGAAAGGGGAGGAGGGCGTGATGGGAGAAGAGGGTGGAAAGGGAGAAGGAGAGGGGAGGGGAAAAGACAGAGAGGAGAGAAGAAAAGAGAAAAGAGAAGAGAAATCCTAACTTTGAGCAAGTAATTACTGGTATACACCACACGTCTGGTGTCAACAACCAGCTTGGGTCCACAAGGGTCCTTCCCTCAAAGCCTGTACCCCTCTAAGCTCTGGAATCTGAGAGCATGGTCTTTAACCATCCAATTGGACACACATCCAAAATCTAACAACCAAACTGCTCTATTTCCTAATTACAGCTACAGAGAGTAGAACCAAAAATCTAACAAAACTGACCAAATACATAAAAGACAAGAGTTTGTAAAGTAGGGCAAAGTCATAAAAACAACTAATTGTAGATTGTGGAATATAATATGCTAAGATTGTTTTAAAGCTCAGCATATATTTTGTGTTTATTTTCAAGTTAATAAAACCCTGCTGTCTTTCTCTCCCTCCATTTTACAACGCTGCTCTCCTGCGGTGTATAACACCCCCTGCCCCAGCAGACAGGGTGGGGACGTGGTTCTACACACCTGACGCTTTCCATGACTTCACCTTTACAAACATCACACTGACACTGCGAGCTGCTCTTAGTAATGTGGAAAAATTCAATAATGCTGTGAAACCTCATACTAAAAAAATAATTAATAGGCCTGGCTCCCTCCTTTTTTCTTCTCACAAGTGTTCTTCAAGATCACCTCTCAAATCTGTCCCAACCTAAAATAAAAACTGTCCACCATCAGTATTAACATTATAAAGGTAAAGGCATGAAAGTTATCCTAGCAGGAGTTAAAAAGAAAAAAATTAATTACCCCCAGTCTTCCCAGGGTGACTCACCCTAGAGCATCTCCATTTTTTATGACCCAAGGAGGTGTTTATATTGACAAAGCCACCAGCTGGGAGAAGCCATAGGACATTGCCCATAGATCTGACCATCAAGAGATACCAAGCAGCTGGCGATCTAGCACATTTATAAGTAGATCAAAGAGATCTGCGACACGCTTTGTTTCTCTGGAGGTGGGGGCCACCACCTCTGCAACACTGAGTCCCAGAAGACTCCTCCCTCTCTTGAGCCTCCTGTTGACATTTCCCTCATCAGGACTCCATAATGGCAAGTAGAAAGGGGGTTTAGCGGAAACTCGGAAAGGCACACAGTAACTTCACTCTCATTAACTAAACTTGTTTATGGAATTTCCTTTAACGAGCCAAAATTTTATGATGTGTGGAGCACCAACAATAAAAGTGCTCAGAGATCAATCTCGCCCTTATTTGCTTTCGTCTTTCACTGGACCGAAGCATCTTGGAAAAACAAGTCGCTCCAGTGACTAAGATTTATGTGTCTCTAGTTAATTCACATTGCATAATTAGGGAAGGTTCAATATGCAAGGAAGTTTTGGTCATGCTTATAGATGGCCCTTGGGTTCCCATTAAAATCAGAAAGGCTGGTTTTGCAGGTAGAAGCACCAGAGGTCAAATCTGGTCTTCCTACATCAAACACAAAGAGCCCAGGAATACAGACACAACCCCCCTGAGTTCCACCTGTCACTCAGCCAGTCAAGGTGGATAAGCAACTTGAAGCAATTCATGTTCAGACTGCTAAGAAGGTACAGGGTATAAAAACAAAAAGTGCACGTCCCCGATTGACTCTTTGATTTCATCAAGCACCAAAACCTAAATATCACACAGTGCAATTGAGAGATTAATGCTGACAAACATTAGCCAATACCAGATGAATGCAATGGAGAAGGGCACCTGCAAATAGCTTGTGAGGAAAAACAAAGGCATTGCTGTTGGCTCAGTTGCAATATTCTTCCAAGTCTAGTTATTTTCTACTTTTAAAAGGCTTTACATGCATGCACAAAAATTTGCACTGGAAGGTGTTTCTCTGAATTTGTTAATCAAAAATTAATTTGCAAGTTTTGTACTTTTTCCTGGTTTTTCTAGAAGGTAGTATTATGTCACCAGGAATAAATACACATGAATTTGCTTGGGAAATAGAGAGCTTTTTAGCCATTTGGGAAATTGAATGCTGTTGTTATTTTAACATGCCATTTTTGCTTATTTTCCCCGTCCCCTTTGCTTTTATGAGCACGAACAGTAAACACAAAACTGTCATTGTGCTATTCTCGACAGCCATCACTACCCTAAACACGTTCTTTTGTCTTCAACTACATTAAGACTATGTTATTAATATTTCAGCATTCTTAGAGAGAGGCACTCTCAAAATAGAGTTGTGGCTTTTCAGAGACAGCCATTTTTACTGCCCACATTCAAAATGACCTACTAAACTGATGCTTCAATACATTTCTTGGCTCCGCGTGCCTCACAGGCTTCCCATATTTGGTGCATGGATATGTAGACACATATGCATTTATTCGTGGATTTTGCATCTTAAAATTTTCACCGTCTCGTTCTTTCTAAACAAAACCCAAAAGATCTATTTGGCATAACAGGCACAAACATGTGTTATTATTTCTCATCTTTCTCTTCTGGTGAGATCTGTGACACTATATTGAATGCTAATAACTTTATAAGCAAGTCCCAAGTGCTTCCTCAAGAAGTGTTTTTCTGCTGTCCTCTTTCCAGGGGTCGGGCTGACATGGGGTCTGTGTGGGCTGGCTCTGCACTAAACCTTCTGACTGCGCCACTGTGGGGAAATCAGTTCACTTTAGAAAGCAAACTTTGCACCCAGTTCCTGTTGCTTTCCTCGATTACTCTCTGCTGACATAAAATATAAGAAGTAGACTGAGAAGGAAAAGAAGAAAAACCCTTTTCTTTCATCAGTTTAACAAGGTTGATCCTAGGATCCTCAGGAAAGCCTCTTTGTAGAATGTGCAGCTGTAACTACTTTTGGCTACATTGCGTCATGTTTTTTAAAGCTAACACAACATCTAGATTTTGGGGGTATGTGGATGTTAGTGCATGGGGTTGTAATGTGCACTATAATCCTAATTACATGATTCTTTTTAAAAATAATGCATGCAGATCATTAATGTGATTTTCTTCTTTACAGGAAACACAGACAAGGTATCATCAGATTGTCTTCCAACTTCATTCGCAAAGTAATGAACCATGTAAAAGCAGCTAATAACAGCAAATACCAAGCACCTACTGGGTATTTATGTGCTTCCATGCATTATTTTATTTGTCATGGTGCTTCCATGAACTCGGAGCACTGACACTATTCTCATTTTGCAGATGAAGGAATAGAGGGTTTTGGTAACTTTCAAGGTTAGATGGTGATGAAATAAAGCATTAAACTCCAGCATGTATGATCTTTCACAAGTTCTGAAGCACTGTAGTTAGGTAAAGTTCTGACCTGCAACCGGAATGTGACTCGGGGGTATTGTAAACGGAGGTGTGGGCAGCTGGAGCGGTGGTCTCCACTTCCATTTGCCCCCAAATCCCCAACCCTGCTGGGTGCATCCAGTATTGATGCAGGCTCACTTGCAGGGTGGTACAAGTGACAGGGACAGGTCACCATCATCCAGAGATCTTTCACCCAAAACCAAGCTTAAACCAGGCATGGTGGCACACTCCTGTAGTTTAAGAACTTGGGAGGCTGAGGCAAGAGGATCCTTGAGAAAGTTTGAGACCAGCCTGGGGTACAAAGTGAGTATAAGGTCAGCCTGAAGTGCATAGCAAGATGCTGGCTCAAAAAGAACAGAAGGAAGGAAGGAAGACAGGAAGACAGGAAGGAAGGAAGGAAGGAAGGAAGGAAGGAAGGAAGGAAGGAAGGAAGGGGAAGAAATCCAGCTTAATGTATCTCTAAGAGTCAGGTCAATTTCCTTAAGTACAATGTCTCTATCAGAGTCACTAAGAATTTCTGTAAATGGCTACTTTTGGCTAGGTAGCTAATATGTAAAACCTAATTTGAGTTAAAGTCCACACTAATGGAGGGTTAAAAATTACCTTCCCAAGTAACAAATTTATGTTTTAATAGTTTCCTGAAGGTCGAAGTGGAAATTCCAACAGTGATTCTTCAAGGGGAACATATATATATGCAAACTGATTGACAAGGAATGTCTGTCTCCAGAGGTATGAAAATCTTTCTAATCTTATCACTTAATACTGGGCTCAATGGGAACTCTGCCTTTTATGTGTTGGACACATCTAGCGGTGTATCCAGTATTCTTGAGAATCTATCTCACAAATATCAAAAACACTTAGTGGCCTTTATTGAATTAGTTCTCTAATTTAAAGTTTAAGTTTAGACTATTTCTTACATTAATAAAGTAAGAATAAGTGATGGTTTAAAAAAATATCTTGGGGCTGGGGATTTAGCTCAGCGGCATAAGCACCTGCCTTGCAAGCAGGCAGTCCTGAGTTCGATCCCCGGTACCAATAAAAAGGAAAAAGACCAATTAAAAAATATTATATATATCTTCCTGCTGCTTGTAAATAATGTGCAAGTT